CCCCCCCCCCCATGCAACACAAACGGGCTGTGCTGCTGTGCTCTCAGCTTTACAAGGCAGCACTTTCTCACGAGAAATAATGTCATCTCCAGTTTATTGTGGCTGCCAACACTTCCAGCAGCTGCTTAAATGAGTAAATCTTGTTGTATTACTCGAGCAGAGACACACAGGGCAGGATGTTCGGCTGTATCAAGTGTTCTGTCGGGTTTAAACTGGATCATGTGATTTGAGTCTTTCTGTAAAAAAAACGACTGAGCTGGATTTTGCACGTCTGATGAAACTAGGGGTGAGAATCTTTAGGCAACTCACGATTAAATTTAAATGTGATTCAGTGCACTGCGATGTGATCATATATTTATAGAGGCATCCATAATCACACTTCCAAACAAAATCATGAGCATATATACACTCAGACGCAAATAAACAGAATGTTTTGCTTTATGAATCAGTTTTTGTTCTATTCAAACACAATTTAAAAAGGATTAAAAAATCCTTTGATTTTTATTTTTTTTATCTCGTTGTGCGTGAAAATTGCTGTGTTAGCACGCCGTTAACCCTGGATGATCATGTTCTGTCCCGCCTCCAAAGGATGACACATGAGGTGGTGTCTAACCGGCTGCACGGTCAAAGTTGCAAAAAAAAGGCATATTTTTAGTTGCAGTCTCAGGAGAGATGCTTTTATTGAAATTTAAAATGGTAACTAGAGAAAAGAGGGAGACATAAATATATGGTAAAACATCGTGCCATATAATTGTGCCCTTCAGCGTTTTCTTTTATGTCCGGGTGTTGCTCTTCAGCACTTCAGAGTTCCAAATTTGGTTTGCATCTTTAAATAATAATCAATTTTTGACCATTTTTAACTGATTCAAAATCATTTAGTGATGCATCAAAAAATAAATCATACTTCTCAAACAAGAGGATTACGTTTTGTTTGAATACATTTAGTAAGTAAAGATTTCTGTTGCTCACTAAAATCTCTTATAACGTGAAAACCCAAGATTTCCCAGAGAATGAGCAGCTTTTTTAAGGTCTTTGTCAATGAGAAGTAAAAGAAATGGGACATGATGCACAAAGTGAGCTGTGAAAAAGGGGTTTTGGTCACTGCATGTTTGAACATGTGATGCTGAATTTTATATTGATTCCACGTGTTTGGATCAGTTTCTAAAGATCGATTCAAAGCAATATATCGACTCATGATGACATACCATATGGGTTTGAATAAATATAATTACTGTATTTCTCGTGAGTCTGATTACATTTTACTATAAAAACAGACAAAAACAGGCTGACATGATGTGCGTCAGATGATTGTAGACTTTGAATGTTCCAGTTTTAGTATTTATCAGGTCAAAGTTGTCGCAGTGTCTGGTTTTGTTGACCTCTGAGGGTGCAGAAGTCCTTAAAGCACACGCTCGCCTTTTTTCAGAGAGTTCATTTCCCTGGAGCTCCCTGAGAACTGCACGCACAAGCAGCTTTGTAAGCTGCTGCTGGAGGAATAGACGAGCAGGGGTGCATCTCTCTCCTCTTCCTCTGAAGGTTACCTGCATCTGAAAACACCAAAACATATTAGCAGCTGAGAAATTATATTTTCTGAAAAGGCAGCAGGAACACTGAGAGCTGCTGAAATTTGATGAACTAAAAGAATTAGAACACCAGCTAAAATCTAAAATAGCAAAAAAAAAAAACGGGCTAAAAGTAGCAAAATGCTAGCTGAAAGCAGCAAAAGCTTTAAAAAGTAAACACTTCAAAGCCAAAGATATATAAAGAAGTACCAAAAGAAGCATCAAAATTATAATTTATTGCGGAGTTTGTTATGAGTTTGATTATTTGAACATAAAAGTTAACTATAAGCTAAATCTTTCTAGCTCAAGTTACAAAACTTGGCTAAAAGCTAAAGTGGCTAAAAGGTGTAAAGCAGCATTAAATCCTTATTTGGGTTTCAGTGAATATATTTGCTTAATTTCTGAACATAAAAGTATAAAATGCTAACTAGAAGCTAACTGCAGCAGAAGGTAAGTTTTGAAAATCGTGAAGTATCAAAAGGTAAGGTAAAAGTAGCAGAACAGAAACTTAAAATCCAAAGCAAAGAAAGAAAAGAAGCACAGAAGCTGAAGCAGACTTGGAGAGCTCTAAATGTTTTTCCACTTCACCATTTTCCTCAAGTTAAAAACTCCAAAATGATTTCCTGTCAGCATATCAACTTACTGCTGGAACCTTCTATCTCCTGATGGAAAACAAAAAAACAAAACGGAACAAACATTTGATGGGTTTGGATTACATCTGAATGAAGAAGTAAATAAACCTCCACCAGCCTTTGAATGGAACTTCTGAGCATGCAGTACTGGAGAGTGAAGAGATGTGCATCCTGATGTTCTGGTGAAAATGTGAGCCGGCAGTGAAATGTGATCCCTGAGACTCAAACATCACACAGAACTAAAGCACCATGAACAGACTATCGAGAAGTTGGAAGTCTGTGGTTTGACTAATTTTACCTCTTAGTCCGATACATGCTGCTTTTGTAGCATTAATTAAACCAAATATGTGTTTAATTCAATTCAGTTTATTTATATAGCGTCAAGTCGCAACAGAGGTTGTCTCAGGGCACTGAACAGAAACATTAATATATATAAAAATAAGTTAACATTATTTATCTGAGGAGCAGACTGCTTTGAATTTAACTCTATTGCTGAAATCTCATCTTGAGCAAGCATGAAGGCGACAGTGGAAAGGAAAAACTCCCTCAAGAGGAAGAAACCTTTAGCAGAACCAGGCTCAGGACAAGCGGCCATCTGCTTCGACCAGCTGGGTTTGAGTGGACAGGAAGGAGGAACAGATACACAATGGCAGGTCAAAAATCACATATTAAGATAGAAATAGTATAAAATGAAAACTATTCAATTTTAGCAAATTGTTTAAGAAATAAGATCAATTTGTCCTCCAGTAGTTTAAGCCTATAGCAGCATAAGCCAACCCTAACTATAGGATTGATCAAAAAGGAAAATCTTAAGCCCAGTCTTAAAACTGGACAATGTGTATGTCTCATGGACAGAAACTGGAAGTTGGTTCCACAAGAGAGGAGCCTGATAACTGACAGATCTTCCTCCCATTCTGCTTTTGTAAACTCTAGGAACCGCAAGTAAGCCTGCAGTCTGAGAGAGGAGCATTTCAAGGAAACACCAAAAACATTACGCTGCCTGTCAAAGGACGAGCCATTTGTGTTGATGCATTCATGTGCCTGTTGCAGTTTTAGTTTATTACATTTTTTTCACTGATACCTGACACTGCACAGATCTGCAGCAGGAGCAGTTGAGGAGCTCAGAAAGATCGGAGGAGCAGGTGAAACGGGGAGTTTCGGCTCTCTGAGGAGCCTCAGGAACAACTGGAGCGTGCAGACGGAAACTGTTCGCCCTCTTTAATAAGAACTGACATCACCCAACGTAAATCTGTTCAGCAGTCTGCCGCGGGAGTGAATTATTTTGGAGAGGGAGGTGCAGAGTGAAGGCGAGGCCGTGGCACCCTGAAAACCCACAGAATGAATCAGCAACACACAAACAACTGTTTCTGGACTTAATCCTTTTGTTTACGTTGGGAAAAAGTTGTCTTTATATGAACTGTTATGATAGTTTTAGTCAGAATAATTTGTCTGGTTTAGTCTTTTTTTCCCTCATTGAATCAAACTTATTAAGAAATACGTCAAAAAAGGAAAAAAACAACTAGAAGTTGCTTTCTGAGAAGAGCTTTCTTCAAAAAACAAAAAATGCTATTCTTGCTATATTTAATATCTGCTGTAGGAAGCATAAAAAGGGCTGAAGTAAATACAATGATCAATGTATGTACGATTGCATCCTTCAACCAGAGTTTTTATGGAATTTAAAAGCTTTTTCTGTGAATTTTTGCAAATATGTATCTGGTATATTTGACATTTATCTTAAATTGCCATAATTAATCAGTGTAAATTTCTTAATTTCAGGATTTTAGCCTATAGAAATTCTATAATTTTACTATCTAACTTAATTTTCTTTTGTTTACCTTTTACTATGAGGCGTGTGTTTGTCTCAACCTAACTTTTCCGTTTTTTATGGGGCCTTTAAAGGCATCACGATCATATGAACTCTCTAAACAAAACCAAGCTGAAGTTTATTTTGTATGCTGCCTTTAGATGACGTGTGTTGTGAATCGATGTTATACAAAAACAAATAGAAAGAAGGATGAATCTAAGATCTGAGGGAATAACGTACAAATGAAGCTCTGCTGTGTCTGAGTGTGAAAAATGTATGGAGGATACACGGTGCAGTGAACGGATCGATACCTCGATGATGTGCTAACAGTTTCCTCCCCGTGTCCCTCAGGACTACACCATCACCATGTATTTCCAGCAGTCCTGGAGGGACAAGCGCCTCTCCTACACGGGGATTCCCCTCAACCTGACCCTGGACAACCGTGTGGCAGACCAGCTGTGGGTCCCCGACACCTACTTCATTAACGACAAGAAGTCCTTCGTCCATGGGGTGACGGTGAAAAACCGCATGATTCGACTGCATCCCGATGGAACTGTGCTCTACGGGCTCAGGTATGAGCTGTTGGTGGAGCTTTGGATTTACAGCACACATCAAACACCAGCTTTTGTTTCTGTCATGATAAGAGGCAGGAATAGAATCTCTGGAACATGAACTGCTTTTACTGCACAACAGCAGAAGCATACATCTTGTGTTCGGCTTCTAAATTCCCAGCATGGTTTCCTGTTTGTGCTCCCTGGTAACCCCCTATGGTAGCCCCACTAGGAAAATAAGGCACATCTCACAACATCTCCTCTCTTTTCTTTCCCCCTTTTTATTTTTTGAAAGAATAAAATAAAGCTAGCAAGGCATGAACAAAATTATAAATTCAGTTCTCAATGCGTGTATCAGAACATAACTTAAGTTGCCCGTTTGTTATGATTTGGACCCATGAACAGTGAAACATTTACCCCTAAGTTCATGCACATTAATCAAGGTATAAATCTAACAATGTTCAGTCAGGTCATCTGTACTGTTTCTTTTGTTGCTGAGCCATTTCATCCGAAGGACTTCTTCAGTCTGAGGAGCTCACCAAACCAAACTGAATCCCACAAACAGCTCACTCCCAGAGTGGGAAAAAAAAAAACAGTTTGCTGGTGATAAGATGGCCTCCGGGGCTCACCCTCTGCCCCGTCAACTCCTCCAAGACAGACTATGCCAAAGTGGTTCAAAACACCAAAGTTCAGTTAAACATTTACTTTGACATTAATGTATTAATGTAAAGATTTTTTTGAGAACTCTAAAAAAGTCTCTCTCTGGACTATGAATCTAAAGGAACAGTTCTTTTAGAATACAGGCCATTATAGGGTAGACTGTCCTCAGTCCTCATAAGGGATTATTCTGCCCTTTAGAATATAAAAGGGACCACCATCTCTAAATCCAAAAGGCGCTTTTACCTCCCGCCCTCTTGAAGTCACTTTCACGGGCATGGTTTACCCAAAGGAAAACCCTGGAACAGGGCCTGGTGGTGGTTGGCTTGCTGGTGCTTCCTGGGGAGCCACCACTTCTGTAGTTGTATAGTCCTGCCGCGGTGTCGTTGGAACAGTGCGTTGCTGCAGCTCATCAGGATCAGCTGCCCCCAGGACCACCTGAAGGGTGTTGTCTGTTCCTGCAGGTCACATTACCGTTGGCCATCTCCACCAAGTAGGATCTCGATTCTCTGGGCTTACCGATAACTTTGGCTGGCGTCGTCCATCCTTGATCCCCATCAAGTTTCACTTTAACATTCTGACCTGGGTGCAACTCAGGGAGTGGATGAGCTGAATCTCGTTGGTTGTAGAATAATCTATACGAGTCTTTAGCTGCAGCATCCTTTTGATACACCATGTCCTGATTGGCTGGACAGGGCAATGCTGTCTTTTCTAGAGCTGAGGCATTGGTGCGGATGTGGCATCCTGTCATAAGCTGAGCTGGACTTGTGCTGGTTGCTGCAATTGGTGTAGAAGAATAGCTCGTTAAGGCTAAGCTGAGGTCAGGTTGTTGAAGGATGTACTTGGCTGATTGGATAGCTCTTTCAGCAGCCCCATTTAAGAACTCGATTACATCTGGATAAAATAATAGACTCTATGTTATGTGGATGAAGCCATAGCTTTTTAAAGTCTAGGAACTCTGACGATGTGAACTGTTCCGTTGTCGCTGACAAATTCCAGCGATCCAGCGTTCCCCATCTCACAAACGTGTTTAAGCTTGTTGACCTGCCTGCTTGTGGTGGTAGTGAGGGAAGCAATAAATAACAGTCGCATGTGAACAACTAGTTTTAGCTGTCACCAGCAAACTAATTGATCCACTATGAGAAGGCGATTTTTATAAGACTGAGTTTATTGCAGCTCCTTCGACTGAAGAAGTCTTTTGGATAAAATATGAACAAGAAGAACCTGTCCAGAGGACCTGACTTAAACCTTGTTAGATTTATCTACCTGGACTACTGAGCATGCATCAGGACATTTTGAGGATCCTTTACCTGATCTATGAGAGTCTTTTGACTTGATGAGGTACTCTAAAATGTTTGTTTTGCACGGTGATACAAATATTTAACATCAGTTCGTCTTTAGCCAAAGAATCATCACCTTCCTTCTTCCATTAAAAAAAAATAATAATTTCACAATAAAACAAATCAGTCAAATAAAAAAGATTTTTCATGGACAACCAACAGAATTCATCATATGTGCTGAGATTTTTTTATTTGACGGTTTTAAAATTAGCTGCCATTTAAAATTTATAAATACTTTCTTTTTTTTTTTTTTTGTATTAACGTCTAAATAACAAAACAACAACGTGACATTTGTTTGTGTGTTTTTAAGTTTGGTTCATGCTTTTTGGTAGCAGCATTACAGTGCTCAGGTTTTGGTGAAAAGGAACCAGGTGGCTGAGCAGCAGGTCTCTGACTGTGGACCAGAACCGGATCAGAACCAACATGGTTTTCATGGCAACACTGTGGTGACTGGAAACCATTTAGAACACAACACCCCAGGACACAAAATGTGGAGAATAAGCTCTGAAGCACGTGGTTGGCTTTCTGAGTGGTGGAGACACACAAACCTTTTTCACTCACTGTGCTGAATATATTTTACTGAATGATATCATTTGATATTTTGGAAAAAGTATTGTGATGGACTTGCGACCTGTCCAGGGTCTACCCCGCCCCTCGCACAATGATTGCCAGACATGGGCACCGGTGACCCCAATGACCCAAAATGGAAGAAGCGGGTAAAAGATAATGGATGGATGGATGGATGGATGGATGGATGGATGGATGGAAAAAGTATAAATATAAACATACTTTGTAAAAATATATACGATAAAGTCAATTTTATTTAAAAAAGCATCTAACCCAAATTACAGCACTGATCGCAAAAAGATTTGCTATTCTGGCCTCCCATTAACTTTAATATTTCAAAATGTAGTTTGGACTTGAGTTGGTTCTGTCAGAGAAGTCAGCCATCTTGGAACTGAAAGGTCCAAGGTCAAAGATTTTGAAGCTTATGTCAGATATACCTATTGTATTTTCTGTAAAGATGCAGAGTGAATGCTAAAATCTGCAGAAACTTACAGAACTGCGTTGTAAAGGTAAAAAGAGTTGCAAAAGGGTTGAAAGAAAGTAACAAGCAAACTAAAAGCAGTAAAAGTACAGCTAAAACAAACAAAAACACATAGGTACTGTAGCAAAAGTCTAGTTCAAAGTAGCAAAATATTGACTAAAATTAGTAGAAGGAAAAGTAAAATTAGCAAAAGCGTGTAGCAAATAGGTAGCTCAAAGAATGAAAAGTTACACTAAAAATGGGGCAAAACGCCATCTGGAAGCAGCAAAAGATTAAAGTAGCAAAAGTATTATTAAATGTAGCAAAAGTACATTTCAAATTAACAAAAGAAAAGGTCAAAGTAGTAACAGGCCAAATAAAACTAGTAAAAGTACGGTTAGTTATTAAAAGTAGCAAAAGATTGACTAAAAGTAGTAAACAGAAAAGTAAAATTAGGAAAAAGACCAGCTAAACGAATGAAAAGTTGGGCTAAAAGTTGCAAAACACTGGCTAAAAGCAGCAAAGGGTTAAAGTAGCAAAACACGAGCCAAAAACAACAAAGGAGTACCTTTTATTTCTGAGTTGCCCTCGACGAAGACAGTCGCTCTTCTTCCTTCTCTGGCCTTTCCCCTGCTTTTGCTCTTTGTCCTGTGTATCAGAGCCTCTCTTTACACATCTTCTGAATCCTAAATTATTATGGATCTGGTCCAACCGTCTCTCAACGCAACTGATAAAATTTTCTCGAGGAGACTGGGTGCAGGAGAGCCCTCATGCCCTGAAGGGACAAACGCAGCTGGATATGTCATGGATTCCTGGGGTGTGTGGAAGATCATGTTTCTGACTACAAAGTCCATGCTCAATAATCCAGGTTTACAATCCAACATTTTTCAGTCAGGTCATCTGGACAGTTTCTTTTTTTTGTGCTGAAACGTTTCACCTTCAGTCTGGAAGGATTCATCAGTCAAGGAAACACACAACAAAACGGATTCTTCCCCCAACAGCTTACTCCAAAGTGGAACAAACCAGTTCTGCTTGTGATAAGATGGTCTTTTTGTTACGACCCCTCCTCCATTGCCGGCCCTCTTCCTTGTTGACAGTCTTGTCAAACTGGTTGAAAACAACAAAGTCCATGCTCAATAATCCAGGTATACAATCCAACATTTTTCAGTCAGGAAGTGTTCATGGACAATCTACAATCTCACCGTCATGTCGTCCCCCACCCCCTTGCAAAATGTATTATGTCTCTCTATGTTGCTTTGGCTGAGGCTGATTTTTTTGCTACCTTACAATGTGCCCTGTGTCAAGGACAATGTGAGATATCTTTATTTTTATACCTTTTTTTATTCATGTTTTCTTCCACTTTTTTTATCTAAGCGATAAGAAGCAGCAGCCCCCGTACACTTCCGTCTACCCTTCAGACGGCTGTACGAAACGTATTTTTGCTGTACTTAACTATTCAATGACAATAAAGTTAATTCTGATTCTGAAAAGTAGCAAAACAGTTGTTAATAACAGGGTAGCTAGAGTTACAAGTAACAAATGGTATCCAGAAGCTATGAGCTAAAAGTAGCAACATGCTGCAAAAAGTAATGGAAAACAAAAAATAGCAAATGGATCAGAGCAAAGGGCATAGACAGTGTTTTCACACAGGTCTGGAGGAAACGATGAAGGAGACGATCAGGGGAGCCGTCTCAACAATCCCTCCTGTTCAGTCGCGTCTTTGTCTCACTTCTTTTAGTGTTGTTTTTCTGTCGGGGGTCATTCAGCTTTACATGTTGGTTGTCTTTTTTTTTTTTTTTTGTACCCCCAGAAGGACCTGTCTGCTCACATCAGGCACATTAGCTTCCAGAAGAAAGCTGCTTTTCTCCAGATGAACGTATTTCCTGTGACACGAGGAAACGGAGAGAAGCAGAACGCATTAAGCCCGACCTGAAGGTCTTTTAGGTCCGAACAGGAAACGATGTGAAAAGAACGGAGAGCGCGAGCTAAATTTGTCT